ATGCAGTAAATACCAAGAGAGGATTGAGCATCCAATGTACCATTCTTCACATTACATAGACATGGACACTGAGCTTCACTCTGGTAAGTAGTCTCTTCTATAGATTTATATAAATCCATGTCAGATCTCAGGGATCCATGCAGTTGAAAACCAAATTCAAACACTTGCTATCTACTTCTTTCGGCATAGGAGTTAATCATGACCTTGAAATTCTTATATCAACTAATGTCTTTCAGTTCCAAGAGGATGTGAGACCTCTAGGTTGTTAAGGAAGCAGTTCATCGAAGATCATGAGGCTTTTGAGCTACAGAGAAGGCGTCTTGCGGAGCTGAGTTTCATGCAGAAACCATTAGCCAACCAGTCATTTTTCGGATACATGGATGGATCAGAAGTCTCCGAAGGTCTGTGACTGTTTCCTTACGATGTTCCTCCAGCATGGTTCTTTTATTCCTATTTTCTTACCCAAATCATAGAATGTGCAGAGCATCTGAATTTCCCATCACCCAAACATTTTTCTGAGCTGCTGGATGTTCTGAACAGCAACGATAGAATCAGGCATATAAACACCAATTATTCTGACCCGGATAGGTATAAAGTAACTCTTTTTTACAGGCATCTTTCTATGTTGAATCTGTTCTCATACCAAAACAAATCTAACCATGATTTTCTGTGATGTTATTGTCCATTCAGCAGCGAGGGATTAAATCTCCCCGATAGCCCATTTGCTTCTCCAGTAGTTAGCAGCATTTCTGCGGTCATATAGGTTCTGGAAAACACAGAAGTAGAGTTAGATTACTGGCTCAAAGGAAACACATCTTTTGATCCATTTAATCAAAAGGAAATACATAAAGCTTAAACTTTAGTTTTATTCTTTGCTTCACTTCTCCTAACTCATCTATCGAATCAAATCTCGTGTTGAGTACATACTTGCTAAAAGAGGGGAAAAAAGATTTGCCACCATGTCACGAGGAAAGTAGCAAACCTAATACATAGAACTATATGTAAGGACAGTTTTTTATCTTTACCCCTTTTCGATGTTAATCATAGAAAATCTATATTTACTGGAGGATTTAGTATAGATTTTAGCTTGAAGGAAGTAGAGAAAAAGAAAGTGCAGTGTTTCAGGAGGATTTGAAACATGTTTAGGATCTCTGTAACGCTGATGAATAGATGAAAGTTTACTTTTTTTGACAAACTGTTCTCTTGCACAGCTAATACCTGTTCATAGAAATTCCTTTTCCGTTTCTGATAATTTTCACTTTCTTATCATGCATTTTTCGTCTTATGGACATAGTATTTGTAAATTCCTCCAGCCGGATTTTATTATATACCGGTTCTCGCACTGTTTTCTTTTTATCTCAAAATTTTGGATATAAATTAGGGTTAATTGTATCTTGCACTGTAAATTTCGTCTTATATCGAAAATCTTGGATATGAGTTAGGGATAATCTGCTTTGTTTGAATTCATGTAATGTTAAAGGATATGATTGTTGGAGAATTTGGAGATTTCCTTTGCTCTGTTCTTCACATGACAATGTTAAGATTTGAGGGCACAAGGGCATTGAAGCTTTCATTTTATTATTAAAAAAAAAAAATCACACATCAAGAAGTAAGAATTCCATAGATTTCTCATGTTTTCTTGTGGGTTTTCTTTGATTTTATTTAACTATTATTCCAAAGCTTGTCATTGGAGGAAGCAATTGAAGGTTTGACTGATTTCCCTAGGAAGACCAAAAAAATGGTTGAGCTTAAATTTAATATTTTATTTTCTTCCATCAAAACAAGGCAACCTGCCTAAAAAGACAATATATAATTCAATTAAAAGGTTCATTTCGTCTTTAACAAAAGATTTTAGAGAAGCTGATTTGATTTACTGAAATTACTAATTATTGAAAAAGAAAATACAGGGAAAGAGAACCTTGTCTTGTTACATTCATTATCTCTTTCTTTTCCTCGAACCATATGTTATCTGAAACAGGGGTCCACCTGCATATGCCTCCATTTCAAAACCAAAGATTTTTTCTTTTTTTCTGGGTAAACACCCAGCTCATGTACCAGCATTTTGATCCCGTGATTTCAGGAAAGTTGTCACTTTTCAGCTGAAAGAGACTTGGCAACTAAATGCATCATTTCATACTTTAAAAAAATTCTCTCCCAAAAACAGGCTGAGTCTCCCCGCAAGCTTTTTTCATCAGTTTAAGGGAGTCTGAATTGACAGGAAAATTAGCAATCTGGCAAGCTTTTTGGTTGCCTATGGTGAACAACAGAAGGTTTAAGTTCTGATATGAAGTTCAATAATTGTCTCTTTTTAATAGAAGTTCGAATCCAGAAGTCTTAAGATTACCCTAATATGGAATCATCAACTTTCTTCAAACATTTCCAAGAAATCAACGGGAACTTTTGGTACTTGCGAATATGAAACTTCTATTTTTATTAAAACTCAGACAATCATAAATTTTTCAGTTAGAAACTAAAGAACCTTCTCAATGAGAGTTTGAAGTACCATGGATAGTAGTCTCTCAGCATCATAATACTTCTTGTAACATTTTGTATTCTATTCACTTTTGGACATTCAAGGGAAAACTACAGAGAGAATAAGCTTTATTCACAACTGAGAACAAAATACAAAAGGGCACCAGAATTTAGCTCTGAAATGCCAGTTTGTTCGCATACAGATAATGAAAGAAGTAGAAGATTTTCCCATTTGAACCATTGAAGTCACTGGCCACTAACTACCAAGTAAATGCAAACCAGATTGAGAGATTATGACACAAGGAGTCAAAGATATACAACTTGAAAATGACCCATCCTCAGTTGTTTTCAAGGGGAGCTTTCTGCCAACTCATGTCCACAGAATATCTATCTAACAAATTGATAACACATTTTAAACTATAAATTTAATGCACATAATGATATAGTAAACATCTTAAACAACACATGAGAAAATAAACAGTAAAACTAGGATAATCATACACTGATTAGTTCCGACTCCATTAATGACCTGTAATTATTGTTAGAATTTTCTAATTTTTATAAAATACGAGATTATTGATTATTAAACTTCAATTTACCATAACAAAAAATATTATGAGTGTTTCTTACCCGGATCGATGTTTCGAAATGTCATACTATTCACTACATCTCCTCATAAGTCCCGATTTTTCTGAATTTTTCCGATAGAAATTTAAATACTTGCCACGAACTTAAAAATACCCAAAAACTCCAAAACCAGTGTTAAAAATCTTTTTTGACAAATTTTAGAGTTCTGACATGGCGATGCCAGTGTGCTTTGGCGCCGGCTCCACCGCCCATGGTAGCGGTCTAAAATGTCAGTTATTGGATTCCAACTCCGTCTAAAATTCCTGACATACTATGATTTGATTAGAACAAACAGTCATTTCTAGTATCTTGCATCTATTATTGGTAATAGACACCATTCAACAGAAGAATCATTTGCTAATAGATGCTGTTGGACAGATGGGTCTCAAAGTCAAGATTGCAAATCTTTGCTGGTAGAAAACTTCCTGCCATGAGCTCAGGGGATAAAACTCAGCTTCTATTTGATTGCCAATCTATCCAGGTAGACAAAAAGAAAAGTCTGGAGCTGTATAACACTTAGCAGTAGGTCCTACCAAAAGAAGATAATCATGAGACAGCTGAAAATTTACAAAACAAGTTGCAAAGCTATCAAGTAAATAATGTATTTTGAAAATAACCTAAGTCGTTTTCTCAGAAATTCCTCACTTGATATTAGTGCAGATAGTTGTAAATCACCTAATAGAATTGGTTATCTTATCATCTTTGGAGTATCAGTGATATTCCATCTTCTGTCAACTGATTTATTATCTAGACAGAAGAGATACTTCTGTATACTCAGGAAAATTTGTTGCACTGTTTAAATGCAAGAACTACTAAAGCTTGATCCAGAGCTTGTATGTCAATTAGCATAGTGACAAGCACTTTGGCAACAAGCTAATAATGCATGGCTAGGTCATCTAAGTTATGAAACTAAAATATATATATTTTTCTGGAGAAAGTAAAAACCTTTAATGCTTATCATTAAGAAGTAAAGATATCAGGTGTTGAGAAGCATTACAGAGAGAAGAGGGTGGGGGGAGTACAAGGAGAAAAGTTTACATGTATGAAAGAGGAAAAACAGAAAACGTATACGATATCCATATGTGTAGAAAATCCAAGGCACATATATGTCTCTCCTTCAAACTTTCTTCTGGACAAATTACAGTTAGCAGAGAAACCTGCAATGTGTACTGGCAATCATCAAAAGATTTATCATACTAAAAAAATGATTGAATACACAAGTAAAGGATCTCAAGAAAGAAGATTTGTTACTAAACACTCTGTATCATACTATAAGAAATCACAGCTTTAAAATATATCTATCAGCTCATTCATAAAGTATGGAATTCCAGGTTTAGTTATCTGCCTGGAGGGTAGAAAAAGGCTTATTAAACTTAATATCTGGATATGGGGGCTGTTCAATGCTCCAATAAGTTGCATCTTAAAAGTGAGAGAATCATGAATGAGGTTTACAAATTTGTAATCCCACCTGTTTTATTGTGGTTCATATTCAAAGGGCCTGCTTGTTGCAAAGCTCACAGTAGAAGGGCATGGCTCGGAGCAGACACTTAGAATTCTGGTCAGATATTTTGGGCCTAGGGCCTTTTCTTATAGGGGCATTCTCATAAATTTCTTTCTTTTCCTTCACCTACATAAAGGAAAATCCTAGTCGTAATATTTACTTCTTTGTAGTCAAAACAGGTGGCTATAAAGAGTAGGTACACTGCTGAATCATGTTAAATTCTATGCTTTCTTTCTCTTTCACAATTTTACTTCAATATGTTTGTGTTGCATAGGCATTTTCTCTACACAACCTGCTGTGTATATCCTTTGTTCTTAATCACAAAAAGAATCTTGTTCATTGACAGATAACTTACCTTGAGTTTTGCAGGCTTACTCTTAGTGCCTTTTCCTGCCAATCCCCAGTACTTAGTAAAAAGAACGGCAGCTATGCTGCAATGATTCAAGACCGTGATCGTCAAATATGAGCACAAAACTGGAGCAATCTGCACGCTACCATCAAATACCATGTCATTAGACCATGCATAAAGAGTTGAAAGTGAAAAAATAAACAATTTAAGTTTTGCTCCAAGCTAAGGTACCAGAGGTTTATAGTCATTTGGAAATGTGCGTTCATCCAAGAACCTTCCAAGAAGTTAGACTACCAGCTACAAGTATTGCTGAGCCTGAGTCTGGAAGAGGAAACCCCGTGCTATTCCAGTTGTGTAAATAAAAGTGAAGTACAAACCCAGAGCATGTGTACATCATTTTTTCTCATATTTCTTTGCAAAATCTTTGAGCAGCAACCTCTGCCGAAATGCCAAATATTTGTCTACACTAGTTTGAGCCCACTGCTGACAGAAGCTTTCATCATTTGGAATTAATGAACTCAGAGGAAATGGGCCTTTTGGGGCTTTCTTTAAAGCAACCAAGAAACGGTGTCGAGGGCGGATTCTCTGATCTAAAGACAAGCTTAGGTACATGGGATATTTAGTCAAGGAATGAACCTCATTATTAAGTTCATGAATCAAGTACATGTACTTCGGCTTTAGATTCTCCTCCAGTGATAGAGACAACACCTACAAAGGATTAAATTTTCCCCCAAAAAATTTAGGAAAGGAGTGCTTTTGGCATATAAAACATAATTAAACATCATCTGAAACTAAACGAGATTTTTAAGTGAACTATAAGTTAAGGGTTCTTCATATGCCAATGTTCTAGATGAGAATAAATTTTTTCACACTCAATGCAAGCAAAGACAGACACGGGCAACCACACACAGATTCTTTACAAAAGGGAAATGAATACCAAGCACTCATAGTACACTGACCTGAGTAAGGCTAGTCAGGACCTTCAAGATGTCAGCATTGCGCATCCCTATGCTCCTTAGAAATTAATCCTAGGCAGTAAGCCATCCTCAATGCTGTAATGCAGAAGCTGAGGATGTTTTCTTACCATCTTCACTATGCTGTCTCTGGGTGCTCCCAACTCCTGCAGAAACATATATCGAGT